TTAAAAACGTGTTATTCATTTAGATTTACGACAGGTAGCACTCAGTTCAGAAAATTCAACGAAAATCCGATGTATGCCAATTTTATGAGTTTTGGTTATATCCAAGAAAAAAATAAACAGAAAATGTTGACCAATATATTCAACAATGTTGAGGCTTCATTTAAAGTACCATTAAAAATATAATTATCCGTTTCTTATTAACAGGCCTGATCGATTGGAGAATATTAATTTTGTTGCACATTCTTCCAACGGTTTAGACCATAACGTTGTTCACGGACGGAGAGACGGACAGGCGATTTGCTAAAAATATTTTACCCGCCCAGAATGAATTCTGACAACACTGTGTTAAAGCAATTTATTTATAACTAGGGGGTGAGTTTTAATGAAATGCCATTTTCTTCTTTTCGCTTTAGGACAATGCCGCTTAGAATAGATATTAATTGTATGCTATGAGAAAAGGAAATTAATCATTGTTATAGGTCATTGTCGTCGATTTCAACTAATAAGTTCTTTTTTACCCTTAACGTAATGTTAATGTATTTTTTGATGATTTCATCAACTTTAATATACTTGGTTTTAACAATATTTACGAGGTGCAGCAAATGTTCTCCAATGAATTCCTGAGTAGCCTATACGATTTCATCGCTCATATATTGTAATGTCAGCCGTTGTGAGTACTATATAAATTAAGGTTTCTGTGACGTATGTTAGCGCTATTGTCAGTCAGGCCGATTTCGCGATAAATAAAGTCAGAGACATTCTTTTAAAGAACAGTCCAAACCAAACGTTTGCGAGCTAAGTTCACTTGAAAAAAAAAGAAGAAGCATCACATCCAATAACATAACACCATATCCAATAGCTTGAGTTGTTCATCTGAAGTGGTTTTGATCACATTATTACGTCATTTGTCTTTGTTTTAGGTCTTTTAACACATTTTAATAGCATTTTATTGATACTTTTTGGCAATGTTGTAGGCCATCAAAATCCACCCCCTATTTATCACACATTGGAACAAAACTAATAGATTTTCCGATATCGCGAGATAATTGTCGAAACCCCACAATCGCCACTTTCCCCACCCGCAACATTACATATTTTCTCTACAGTGCGTAAATGAAAAAATCGACATTCTTACATAAATATTTGACATTAATGAAAAAAAAACTTTAATTTTTGTGTAAAAAAGGGTCGATATTTCTTTGTAATATATTAAACTATATTATCATAAGGCTTAAAAGTCCACAAATAATTCCAAAATTGTATTCTGAAAGTTCAATTTTCGGATGTACTGACGGATGAACTTTTTTATACCCGCAGGGGAAGACTCAAATCGTAAGAAACTATTTGACAAATTGCTTCATACTTTTATCTGCAAGCAAATCCAATAAGTAACAAAGAATTTTCGGCTTTTCAGAAAAATTAAAACCTAAACCACTTTTAAAACCAAAACCATCTGTGGGGGTCTCTGGTTGGTTGATGGATTGGAGGGAGGAGAATTCTAGAGGCCGGCTGCTCTGATCGGTGAATTCTCGGCTATCCGGGAGACGCCGCGTCGTTGGCTGGGGTGCCGACGTTTCGCCTGACATGTCGCAGGCTTCTTCAGGGCAGTGACTCTGAGGCGCTACGCGCCCGGTGGTTTACACTATCCTGCCTGAGCTTTCGGCAGGGGCAGGTGCGCTGTGCTTGGATTGAATTCATGGATTCGAGCCGCGGAAGCTTAAGTATACATTTGCTCTGATCGGTGTTTTTCCGTGGTTACTCCGACTATCAAAGGCGAATGCCGGAACAGTACTCCACCAAACGAGCCACGAACCGCTCCTCTTGCTCTTTGAAACGTTCTTATACGTGTGCGGGTGTTTTTTATTCCATCTGCCCCACGTTGGGTAAGCCATTTTGAAACGAGAGCGTTGGCTTCCGCGGCCGGAGTCAGTATTTACTAGGCTGTCCGGGTGACGCCGCGTCCATGGCGAAGGTGCCGACGTTTCGGTCGCCATTATTGCAATACGCCCTGAGGAAGGTCGCCGCAGAATGGCGACCGAAACGTCGGCACCGCCATGGACGCGGCGTCACCCGGACAGCCTAGTAAATACCATTTTGAAACGTTCTTCGGTACAATTCTTTTGATATCAGCATTTAGTACAAGCCGAGCGGTCCTTGTGTGATCGCTTCTTACTTACATTTGAAAATATTTCAAACCTTAAATAATTTTTATTGAGTTTTTTATTAATGCCAGACTAAAATTCTTACATAGTTGAGTAATTCTTACGCGAGCCCACGTCCCATCGTGAACGAACGGCGTATTAACTAAATAGCATTCTGTGACAAATAAAATGGTTGGTCTACAAAGTCTAACTATTAAACGAATCAGCCTTTTTTGCAACAACAAAAAAAAATTTACATCGTTTCTTGATTTCAACATTAACTTAATCAAATTTTGTTATTTTCTCATACATTTCACTTTGGTCAATTACTTTTATTGACATGCCATTAAATTGGAATATTATTCTCTTTGCTCTACTAAGGCTTTTTGAATGTCTATCTGATAGTCTCTTTGCAAAGACCTATTGAATTTATTTGTGGCTATTCCGCGGCCTTTACGAGTTCCAGAACGTAGCAATTACTGAACTATGTATACGAGACTAATGATCTTAGCCGTTGAAGCACACAGAAACTAATGAATTTGGTGCGAACCTCAGGAGCCCGCTCTACAAATCTGGAGATCATAATTTAATTTGGGAGAGAGCGAGTACTTTGCACGAAGCCCCTGCGATAACTTCAAGGTGTTTTGGATATTTGCTGAAACTATTTCTTGATTTTTTTTGCTCGAATAGAAGAAAGTGCATTTATAATTAGAGTATGCTTCGAATTTTCATTAAAAACCTCTGACATTTTGAAAATTGCAATTGTACTGTATTTAAAACGCAGAGCAAAAGCTCTGAACAACAGTAAAAGTTTAGAAACAAATTTTAACATTCTACCGAACCAACTTTCGTTATTTTTTCCTTAAATAAAAGTCAATGTACCTCACATTTTTTTGCTAGGAATTACGTTTTGTAGTTTACGGAATAAATTTTAATAAAATCGTACAAGTAACAGAAAACAATTAATTATCTACTGTCATAATTGCATTGTGCAAGTTGTAATAGAACTATTGAAAGCGTTCAGTAATTCCTCTTCGAAATAAAATAATGTAAGTGTAAGGTGGTTGCTAAAGAAGTTTTAGCGAGTTTTCTTAAGTTCAAAAAGCTTTTAACACGTTGATTGCCGAGCCGTTTTTCATTAACAATTTCACTGGTGTCATCAGAAACTTTATCACTTATTTAAGAAAAAATAATTTTTAGATATCTAAGGTACTATTAAGGACGTTCTACATGTTTTCAGTAATTTACCTTGTCTGACAACATATGACCTCACGCTTAGATTTAGGAGGTAGTTACGTATATGTGAGACTGTATTGTCTCATGTTCATATACAAATTGTAAAAGAACAATGGACTTTCAACTGAATTTTTTTCATTTGGTAGCAAAAAGAGACAATGATTGAATAATTTGATTTAAATATCTTCAGCATTTGTTTATTAGCATCTAATTCAAATCTAAATGACAAACCACATTTTTATAATAACCACACCAAGTGCTCAAAATGTCTTATTAAATTAGATTGTTTCTTCCTTGCACATGCCGTCATTTCACTAGTTACAATACATTTCACTAAATTGACAACAGTTCACGATTACTCGCTTGATAGGAGCCACAAATTAGTAGTGCATCAATACTGAAATATACGCGCCAAAAGGATTCAGTAATTCATTGCTTCGAAAAAGTGTGAAACTAAATAAAGATAAATAAAATCTAAACCCATAAATGTAATCATATGCTACGATTGAAATATTACAACTATAAACTCTTTAGTACATACTACAAACAATGGAAAGAAATATACTATATTGAAACCATATTACCATGAAACCAACGTCGAGCACTATTTCTCCCAATATTTTTTTAAATTCCTGTAGTGGGGAAATGTATTTTCCGGCCTAAGAAAATTTATAAAGATCAATGGAACCTGCCCTACGGGAATTCAGAGAGCGAGTTTCTGAACAAGGATATCTAATTTTGGATTGTCTCTCGAAAAAAGTAAGTAGGACAGGGTAGGGAAGCTGACGTGACGTCACAAGGTCGCCGCAGCGACCGGGTGCTCGGTACAGCTGCTGAGTTGTGACGTCAAAAGGTCGCCCACGGCGGCATTCTCCCCACGGCATGCTTGTGACGTCACACTCGGCGCAGGTCGGCCACCGGATGCGTTGTCAACATACTCCGCCGGATGCTTACACCGGATCTGATAGGGAAAACACACACACACACACACACACACACACACACACACACACACACACACACACACACACACACACCGGATGTTATGGAACAGAATCGGCCGTTTTAGACCGGAAGTGGCACAGAATCTATCATTTTCCTCTTCTGTACGTCCCTAAACGTTACATACAGTTTCTTGTTTACATTAAATAATGATTTATATGCAGTGCAGTAATGTATTTCTCTGTAGGCAATTCCAACTCAAATAGATTATTTTCGACTATGACAATAAAACAAGGATATTGCGGGCAAAAATTACACAAGAGCATTTAATAAAACAAGACATGGAACTCGCAGCTGATCTCATAGCTAACTCCTGCTTCACTCTCGACTTGTGGCACATGAAAGAGTTTCTAGTCATCGAATGCCATTTCTAGTGTGCGGACGCAGCCTGACCGGCCTCCTTGCTCATTTCTTCTCGCAACGCATTTCTCGGTGTATTCTGTTCCCGGCCTAACATATGTATTATTTTCAAACTTTCTCATTTTCTACAGGAATTGGCCGCAGTCTGAAATCCTGAAAGTGTTCATTTTACAAGTGGAAGAGACGGGGCTTGTTCGTAAGTGGAAGGCCGATTTCAACGCATCTTATGCCACACTCACCCGCCTGGGCTTAGTAGGAGAGATGAGACCGCAACCCGTCGTCAAGGCAACAAGGGTGCTAGCGCTGAAGGACGTCTCGGAGCATCTACAGCTGCTGTGCGCAGGCGTGTGCGCGTCTGCGCTGGCCTTGTGCGCAGAGCTGTGGCGCTTCCACCGCGTGGGCGAGCGTCTGCGCAGGCGCGGTCGACGCGCGCGCGCGCAGCTCAGCACCATCTGCGCTGGGTGGCGCTAAGTGTGTGCGCACATACGCAAATGTGCTTCGTGCCATCACCGCCACAGCCGTTTGCGTAAGCCTTTACGTAATAGCTTCATTAAAATATAGTTTTTCATCAATGTAATTTATGGTAACAAAGACGCTATAAAAATATATTACAATCTGAAATATCTATCTAGATATATCTAATACTAGAATATGATATAATGTATTGAGACTAATGTATGTTCTACACGAAATTGAGTTGAAAACATTAATTTATATTTCAGGTAAAGTAACATTTCTGCGAAGAGAAGCATCAATTGGAGGTCTTCCTGACCTCAAAACCTCACACCATTTACAAAACACTGGAAGTGATTGATTTTATTAGGAAATGTTCTACTGGTTGAATGAATACTATGTTGATCGTTAAATGTTTTACTACATACTAGCTTTGTTCACGTTTCATGTTTCTGAGTATTCTAGATATCATAAGTTTTGTCTTTCATTATCAATGCACATTTCTAAACGTTTAAACAGACAAGTAAATTAATTTACGTATATATGGTATATTGACTATACATACGAAATATTCTATAGCTTTGGTTGTGGGACTACCGATGTCAATGAAATGAAGACTTTGTTGGGAATGTGTAGAAGATAGAGCAAGTAGCTTCATTGGATATCCGGATGGTTTCCTAGGCATCAAATGTTCTGCTCGGTAGGGAAAATTAAACAACTATTGAAAAAGCGCTCGCTCTCTTCGCACATCGTAACTCGAGCTGCGATCAACTTAGAGAAGGTGCGTGTACTGTATGTGCAAGTTCTCTTGATATTTCTCAGCGGATGGCGGTGGGGAGAGAAGGGCTCTGGCTCCATCACGGCTTAAAAGAGCGTACCAACTGTGAGCATGAACTTCCCGCGGCAAAGTGTGCGACGAGAAATACTACAATTATTTTGAGGGTACGAGGTTGTTGTTGGCAGCATTGTAAATTGGTACGTGCCGTTCGGAGTCAAACCTAAGTATCCCAACGTTCCGTGCTATTCAGCGCTGGGTGAGGACTAGGGAGCTCGTGTATCTAGAAAACTTGCGCAAGTAATACGCAGACCGGGTCGTGGATAGCAATGTTTGGCGGAGAGATGGTTGTAATAGATAATTAATGGAATAATTGGCGTGCCGCTAATATCCACAGTATCAAGGACAATATTACGACGGCGATTATTCAAGACAATGGCTGTGAGTAATAAGGCGATGTTTTTTTTCTTTTTCATTTATTGTTGTACATAGATCAGTTTACACTCTTTCATATGTATTGTTGACTTACTACTAACTTAAAAACTATACTTAACCTAGTTCTATTATTGCTACTACATTTAGGGTAGATTACACATTAGGTACCTAATATTCACAATTGTTTGAGAACATTTTAGTAAATACTTAGGTGTTCCTATCGTTTTGAGTTTGTAGATTAATCAAGGGTGCCAGACAGGGTGTCGAAAGCGTGAGATACATCTAGGAGTATTGTTGGTGTTTCTTTTCTTGAAAAGCAATGTGAATGTATTTAGTTATTCTTAGTAATTGGTGTGCATTTGAAATGTGGTTTCTGAAGCCAAATTGGTGATTTGGAATGGCTTCCGTCTTCGTTAGATGACGAGTCTTTTTAATATTTTTTCAAATATTTTTGAAAGAGTTGGGAGGAGACTTATTGGTCTATAATTTGCTGCGAGGCTGTTATTTGTGTTTGGTTTAGGGATCGGGATTACATTTGATATTTTCCAAGTTATTGGGAAATAGCCTATTACGAGTGATGAGTTATAGATGTGTATGTACGTAATTGCGAGTGTAGGTGGGGTTTTTAATATTTGGTGGCTAATTAGGTCATGTCCGGGCGCTTTCCTTTGGGTACATTTTTTCTGTTTTTGACTTCGGCAGGTGAAATTAATTTTATTCTCTGAGGGACGTCATAGTTTGGTGCTCCATTAGAATCAATTATTGGATGGTGGGTGTATGGTGCTGTGTAGCTATTATTAGGTTTGAATATTTGCGCGAAGTATTCTGCTAGCGCTTCTGCCTTATTTTGTAGAGCGTATTTTATACGTTGTGTCGTGTTGAAGGGGGCATAGTTATCTTTCATTTAGTAGACTTTTTAAGATGTGCCATAGCAATTTATTTAAGGTATTTAATGATTGTATTTTGGTGTCGACGGATTGTTGGGTCTACAAGGCGATGTCAAGTTTTTTTAATCGTTTGAACGTGTGCACAAACATTAAGAGACATACAATACTTACTACGGAAATACGGAATCGAAATTCTGGTGTTATATATTAAATTAACTCTTAACAGAAAAAAACAAGAATAAAATGTTATTTAATTTATCTTAAGTAGATATAATAGGTGAGTATTAGTAAATTATAGTGTTAATAATTTCTAAGTTTTTGTATCGTGATGGTTTCCTTTTTGTTGTTGATGTTATAATAAATGATTGTTTTTTCAAGTTCCATGTATGTTTTTTCTTTAATCCTAGATTACAAAGACGTCGTCTGTCTGACGATGCAACTAGTGCCGAAAGCTTCCCCCAGCCTTTCCCCTCAGTCCCCGTTTCTGAAACTCTAGGAACCCTCCTTGTGTGACAAGCCAGTGAAATTCACGTAGCGTTATGCGCGTGCATATACCCGGATTTTGTAATTACGTCCGTTTTTTGCGCTATATTGCCCATTATTGTATATAATAGGCAATACCTTGTGTTGTAGCATTAAAGTTTTGTTCGGAACATTTAGCAATCATAATGAGACGTTGGCGGTAGTTTTTTTCCAAAAGTCTTACCGTTTGGTGTCTGAAAGCTACTAGCGCCTAAACCATTAAATTTTTTATAAATTGAAGAAACACGTGTTGATCTGGCTCAAGTCGAATCTTTCAGATTTTGAAAAAAAAATTATTTGATGCCTTATAAAACATTTTCAAAATTTTCTCAAAAACAGCTCAAATATTTTTCTTTAAATTTCTTGTAAAAATAAAGTGTATTACATGTATAAAGATAGCGTAGGTCCAATTTTCAGTTTTAAAATTGAATTTTAAAACATTTCAAAAATTTTGGGGCATGTTCTTACAACTACAAATATGAAGATTGAGATTTTTTTTCCTTCAAATTAAATTTTTCATCCATAGTAAGTACTTTCATTAAGGTTGTGTACATTGTTTTGAAAATATTAGTAGTTTTCGTGCAATATGTGCAATTTAAAAAAATTACAAAAACAAGATTTTCTCAAAATGACTCAAATTGTTTTAAACTTTTGTTAGGGATAGTGCTAAATTTATTCTATAAGACGACATAAACGCCATATTGCTCTATTCTTTTTATTTTCAAAATTTACAAAATTGTAATCTTTTTGACTAGTCTTTCATGTCGTTAATATTTTCTTAGTGTCAATTTGTTCTTATTATTGTATTTCTGTGTACATGTGCTTTAAATATTGTCATATATAGTATCTCCAAAACTCTACCGTTTTATGTAAAAACTAGCTCAAAACTGCATTTGCAGAAACGTTCAAACGCCATTTTCTAAAAAACTGCTCTAATTTTTTTCTAACATTTCGAACGGATAGTGGTAATTGTCTTGAATATGACGCAAAAATTAATTTCGGTGTATTTTTTCGTTGGTACAATTGTGTTTAACATAAATTCACTGAATCCAATGACTCGCTAAAAATTATTTTTCAGGAAAATTTTCTCTTAGTAGCAAATGAAAATGGTAGACAAACAAGATATTTTCCACTTACGTGGCCACTTAAAGTCTCATTCAAATTACACTCAGCAATGACATTGTGTCTAAAATTGTATGTCATTGCTGAGTGAAATTTGAATGAGACACTTTGCATGTGGCAAATATATCTAAAATTGTATATAAAATGGCCTGTTTGAAACTATATCTGGGTGGCTCCTTTTTCAGACAATAAATTTTATTGAAGTTTAATTATATTTTAATAGAGCAACAAAAAATAGAGAATGTGTTCTTGTAACAAAGGTTATTGATAAATGATGCATTTGAATCAAATTACTAAAATTACAATTATAAGGTTTACGAATATTAAGAACTTAATTCCAATTCAGCTCGGGGCTCAAATCGAAAATTGCTCGCCTTTCACCAAGGAGGAACGGGTTCGATTCCCGGACAATTTTATGTGAAGTTTGTTGGAAAAAGACTTCAGCTGCTTCACACAAAGGCTAGTCTAACACCTGTGAAGTGTCCTGAGCTCTACCTAATTCCTACGCAATTCTGGGTAGTGACACAGGAGCGCGCAAGAGAGAGGTGCGTACGCGGAGATGCTACCTGACGGTCCTCTTCACGACTCCTGGCACGACCTACGGACAAATACTTTCGATAGTACATCACTGCAGACTTAACGGATTACTCCATGTGTATAAATACGTTTTACGCCAAGTTCTTTACTTGTGAATGTTGCCAGAGAATATGAATCAGTGGTTCTTGTCAAAAATGACTTACTTAAGAGCGGGAATATATTTTCAGCAAACGCCGTTGCCTATAACTACAACACTCGTAGTAATCATATTCATCAGGTGACAGTATCAACAGCTCACTACAAAAAATGCACATATAATACATGTACATTATTTTGCAACACCTTGCCAGATGACATTAAACGTCTAAATTCGATACAAAAGTTTAAGTCACAAGTAAAATGTTTTCTGCTGCACAACTGTTTCTATACAATTAGAGACTATACCGAGCATCCAAAACGAAAGTAATATTAATTTTAACAATGACATTTAATGTATTACATTCCATTTGGATTTAATAATTGTGAAGAACCTGTAACAAGTATTCTACTTCAGCGTCTGGGTCAATGACCCCCGTCTCGATCAGGTTTTCGTTCAGTTTCCCTAATCCTCGAGCAAATGCTGGGATGGCCACTTATTTTGCTTCGGGACATAAATGTAACTTCAAATGAACTTCTCCGCACAGCACGTCACACACAGTTTTTAACGTAAATAAATAAGAAAACAAACAAACAAATGCCACAGTCATACTGACATTACTTTAAAAAAAATACAGACCTTTCTAAAATGTTTATGTGATGAAATTGCATGTTCAATATATTTCAACTCTATGTTAGTTCATTTAAAAGAATTAAATTTTTGTTGGAATTTACAAGTAATATAACCATAATAATAAAAAATATTTGTTTTAATGAAAACAAAATTAACATGAACTTAAATTTCATTCATTAATATTAATTTGTGTACCAATCTCAATCGTAATTGGTTAAGAATATTTCACAGATTTATAGTGAAAATATTATGCACTCTAATTGATGGACCATTTAGTAATCAATTTAAAGCTTTTGCAAACGGCACTCTTATATTTCATTATCTAACAAGTTGTAATTTTTTTCATTTCTGGTATAATTTAATTCAATTATTATTTTCATTAGTTGGCAACAGAATCCAAGAAGCGATGGTGAGAAGTTCATTTGAAGTTACATTTAATGTTGTAATTTGAATTTACATGTAATAATCTGAAGTTACTATTTGCCAATATTCTGTTAGTGCTAAAAAGTGCAAAGGTGAAGAAAAGCTGTAAAATCTAAACTCAAGATTTACCAAATGCTCAATTTGATAAATTCAACAAAATACAGTGGAAAATTCCATCATATTGGTAGCTAATTTTAAGAATATTATTCTAAATCACCTTTTAAATCTCTGAAATGCTGCAGGGAACATTACTAAAAGGAACACACCAAAGAATATTTTCTCTATTAGCCACTTCTTAATATACAGATGAGTGAAGTTCAATTTAAAATGAGAAACACATCACTTCCAATTCTAGAGATGTTGAAATTTCAAATCAAATGATGTTTTCATTTCGGGAATGGCTCATGATGCATACACCCTTGTAGTGATGCTAGCAAATTACTCTTCTTTATTATGTCCATCATTTACAGATTGGCATAACATCCGGTGACAGCGACTGGAATTGCAATGCTCTTTCCTAACACCACCAAGTGCAAAAGAACCTCCAGAAATGCCTATCCAAGCATACTATATACCATTTACCATTTCCACTGCCCAATTCGCTTGTTCCCCTTTTGCCATAACAATAACAAATTAGTCGTATCTGTACAACCTACAATTTTCCTCCTGCCCCAACCAAAAACTCAACCTGGCTATTAAAACCTAACACCAAATAGCAGCCTTCTCTCAACACTGTTACACTTCAATACACCTACATAAGGGAGACATCTTCACTCTCTTCATACTTCCGCACCTTCATAGTGGTGGCTACTTCTTCTAATCTCAAATACGTCAATTTATCATTTACATTCTGATTACCAAAAAACACTAATCATATTATGCTACTAATGCTATTATAAAAATGTTACTCACAGAGGCATTCCAGGAAATTCTTCCTTCACATCAACCGGTTCTTCTTGGAACTGGAGGTAACACAAAAAATGTGTGTACTGTTAACATATGCTGCACTTAGAACATACAGTATAACTCATTTCGCGTTTCATTAACTACATGATAGTCTTCGTTTGGGTACCCTTAATCGTAGGCTATCTTAAATATTGGCATATCACGCTCTAACAGTATATCAAATATACATTATAGAAAATGCTTACAGCTTCTATTTGAATAATGCTTTCCGATAAAACACTAATATCTTCCATCACATTCACCGTCGGATCACAAGTGAACAAGTTTGCTTCCTGTTGTCGACAAATGTTAGAAAGAAGCTTTGTGAAAGATAACAGTCCTGGGCGTGCTCCACACGCACAGGTTGGCAAACTGCGTCATAAATCTCAAGACTAGCATTAGCCCTGCCTCAGTGCTGCAGTCGAACGGGTGGCTCTTGTACTAAATTTAGCGGTGGTGCAAGCGATGACGTAACCAGTTTTGACCAATTAGGAGCGTTCAATAGCCTGTCAGGTATTTTTGAATGTACCCGCGGTTTGAAGTTTGATTACAATATATTGTAGGATTCAGTAGGAAACTTACGATATTATGCCTTGATGGTATCTTAGGAGGAAAATGTAATACAATAAAAGAATGTGACAATTTTATTACAATTAAATTAAGAAATTATTACATTATTTCCTTAAGAGAAAAAATAAGGTCAATCATCAAACTTCTAAACCATAACTAAAATTTGAGACATATTTGATTGTAATTATAAAATCATGAAATTGTTGTAATTATTACCTAATACATCAGTTACATGAATACAACAATAAACAGAAATCTTAGTATCCTACAAGAAAATCCTTTTAACAGAAAGTACGTGATGAAACCTGCATTGCAGGTAAGAAATTGCTGTAAAGTAGTTTGATCACGGCAGTCTTAGACAAAAAGCACTAACATATTTTCATTGAGATAATACATAGGTCTAAGACAATTCAAAGTAATAAGGTATTTAAAAAAGTACGTGTTTTGGGCACAAATTATTAGATGTGAAGTAGTGTTCAAAAAAGTCTAAATTCTGTTGAACACAACAAGGACTAGACCTGAGTAAATTTTACAAATACGGGTTGGCAGAAAGAAGATACCACTACACTCGAAATAAGCGACGGTATATCAATTTGAAACGCTATGGAGTAAACACGAATGGACTGAATTAGTGATGCGTGTCTGTTTTCGAAATGATTTTGAATTTACAATAAATATTCACTAAAACTTCATCTTTGTACAAATGTTTACTCCATTGCTTGATTAGTGCACGTTTTTTTCGTGAATTGCCTATTATTCTTCAAAAAAGAGCAGCAATAGAAAATATTAAGTAGATACGACAATGTGCGTTTTGTTCAGTTTTTAATATCTCTTGACTAGAGTTAATGGTAGGCTAAAGCAAAATTTCTTAGCGCATCACTTCGTGCTTTGAGAATATATTTTCATATCTCTAGCAGATATTTTAAAATATTTGCGTGTTTATACTCTATAATAAAACTTTGAGAGGTGTGCCATTATAAGGAAGATGTGCTAGTCTGACAAAACAATTCATACCTAGAGTGATTGAAACATGTGTAGAGAATTTACACGAATCTATCTACTCTATCCTACAATGCCGTAATGGCAATATTAATTTAATCGTTAGTACAATTCCTGATATAACCAAACGCTTTTAATTGCTTCTAAAATGTTAATAACATGACATAAAAATGTTCTTGAAAATATGTTAGTAGGATACCTGAAATATAATGAATACTTAATTTATGTAATATCCTTCATCCCATCTGCTACTCTCAATATCCTTCATCGTTTAGTTTTTGAAATTCTAGTTTATTTTTTACATCTGATTTTAACGCACATTTTACTAACAAAAAACTCATTTTTCATAGACCAGTTACGAAATATGTTACTGTTGTTCATCATGATATTATATGTGCATTAAATATTTTATATAATTTATGGAACCATCTCCACGGAAACAAAGCTCTGGTATGTGAATTCATATTTATCTTCTCTTGCTAAAACTTTAACTGACGAGAGTTTCCCAACTACTGAAGAATTGAAAACTTTTGGTACATAAACCTTGCAACGATTGAAAGCTTGAGAAGAGCCTACCGATTGAACCGTCAAATCAACGGTCCTTTTCCCTCCCCAGCTCTTTCCATCCACTTGCTGTTGGCGCTCTCTGTTGAGGCAGCGCGTAAGCGCGGTCAGACCGCAATGAGCAGACTCACGAACAGAAGTCACATTGTAACCATGGCAAATAGTTCAAGAGAAGAGAGTACAATTGCTTCGTTCTTACGAGTTCGTATGTAGTCCAACTGGCTTGGATTTGGGGCTCATTGACCTACACCATGTGATCAAAAGTATCCGGACACGTGGCTGAAAATGACTTACCAGTTCGTGGCGCCCTCCATCGGTAACGCTGGAATTCAATAGGGTCACCCTTAGCCTTGATTACAACGTCCACTCTCGCAGGCATATTTTCAATCAGGTGCTGGAAGGTTTATTGGGGAATGGCAGCAGGGCCCGGCAACTCTCCATCAAAATTGGGGACAAAACTTGAGGTTGCTACTATAGGATGCGCTAGTGTCGCCAGATACAGCTACTGGTAAGGCTCGCCAACTTTCCCATATAAAAATTGGTCAAGAATAGGAGTACACTTTGATTATGAGCGATTTCTGAAATAAATTACAAAAGAAGTTAAATACTAGGAGATTATCTTCTAAAATTCATTTATTCATAATAATACACGCATGAAAGAAAAGGTAACGCGAACAGCGGCGTGATTTTATGTATCAAGCGCGTGTGTTTGCGTCCCGAGAACCCACGCACGTTTTAAATAACGTTGGTAACAATTCGTATTTTAGTTCGTGTAAGAAGGTGATGCTCTAGAGCGCGTTACTGTAATGGTCCCCACCCCGTTATATGGGAGTTATAGGGCCCTGAATGGCAGCCCATTCTTCACGGAGTGCTGCATGAGGAGAGGTATCGGTGTAGGTCGGTGAGGTCTCGCACGAAGTCCAAATCATCCAAAAAGTGTTCAATAGGATTTAGTCAGGACTCTGTGCAGTCCATTACAGGGATTTTATTGCCGTGTAACTACTCCGCCACAAACCGTGCACTATAAACAGGTGCTCGATCGTGTTGAAAGATGTAATCGCCATCCCCGAATTGCTCTTCAACAGGGGGAAGCAAGAAGGTGTTTAAAACATCAACGTAGGCCTGTGCCGTGATGGTACCACACAAAACAACAAGGGGTGCAGGCCCCTCATACGATAACATCATTTTGGATTTGTCCGGATACTTTTGATAACATAGTGTATCTGGCGCCCTGCAACGTCGTGTGACTTGACAATTTAATTCTAATTGCGTTTCAAATATCGTCGAAAATCCCAAAGAAGCCGTGAGCGAAAAACCGTTTCCTTTTCACGGTTTCAATGATTGGTTATTTGCGCACCCCAGCGCACATTCTGCTCAGCTGCGCGCGCACGAGTCGACTGCGCCTGCGCAGACGCTGGCCGGCTCCTTGGCCGCGCCACAGCTCTGCGCAGAAGGCCAGCGCAGACGCCGACAGCCCCGCGCACAGCAGCTGCAAATGGCCGACGACGTCTTTTAACGCCAACTCGTTTGGACCATCGTTACGCTGCTGTGGTGTGTCATCCCGTAATTTTCTCGAGCGTACGAATATGCCATACGACGAGTTAAAATCGTCCTTCCATTTACGAACAAGACCTACCTCTTCCATTTGCAATACGAACAGTTTCAGAAGTTCAGACCATGGCCAATTCCTGCAGAAAACGAGAAGATTCGAAATCAAGTTTAAAAATATTACACGTACTGAAAACAATAACTCTTTTCAAGTGGAGTATCACAGAAAGTTACATTTCATCGAAAGATTTAAATGTAAATTATTTAGTCCCAACGCAACATTAAAACACATTTTCCGCAGATAGATATGCGGGCTGATGAGCAAGGCAGAGCCTCGCATCACGGGCCATTTGAAGAAGGCGCCGCCAGGTGGCGCCAGGAACCGGGAAGAGCCAAGGTCACGGGACCCTCCATGGGGTACTTGATGTGCAGGGGGGTCCACCGCGTCATGTTGGGGGGGGGGGAGAGGGCCCGCGGAACCCTTATATACCGGAGACCGACGTTCTCCAGTCTACTCATTTAAAATTTTCACCGAACTGCTTCTCACTTCAAATTTTCTCCAATCAACTTCTGACGCGGAATACTCTCCATTCTGCTACTTATTCGATACGTTCACCAGTCTGCTTACTTTCAAATTCACCGGTATGTTTTTTTTTTCAAACGTTTACCGAGTCGATCTAATAAAAAGTTTACCGAGTTTCTGTTAAGAAATGCTCGCTTCAACCTGCCGCTGAGCCTCCCGTGAACGCGTTTGCGTCCAGCCTCTCTAACGGGAGCGCAGTCGACCGCCCCGTGGACACTTCTCGTATGTACGCGTCACCGCCTCGCTGGACAAGATGATTGAGGCCGCTGCGCTCACGTGAACATACGGGTGCCCGAACACTTGGACGTACCTACGTGGAGCAACGACCCCCGCCACACTTCTGAACCCCGCCGCCATCGCCATCACAGCGACTAAGACGCCACCAAGGCAATCAATGGGGGAGATTGCCTCGAGGGCGGAACCACTTTTGAACAATGAGAGAGAAAAAGTTAGAGAATAGAGAGAGAGAAAGAGAAAGAAAGAGAGAGAGAAAGAGAAAGAAAGAGAGAGAGAAAGAGAGAGAAAGAGAGAGAGACAGGCAGACAGAATTGATTTATCAAAAGATTTAAATGTAAATTAATTAGTCCCAACAGCCATTAAATTATTGTAAAGCAATGCAGTTGGTTATTAGTAGCAATCCCAGGCATGCAATCCCCATCAGTATTTCAGAGGCCAAGAGCAACGTCTGCCGACTGGTAGTCGGGCAAGTTTCATCAATGCGAGGTAGGTCTAAGCGACGGGTTATAATACTGATCATCAGTATGAAAAATATTTATTTTAACAAAACAATGATATAAGGTGCATTAGTTAACATTTTTATTGTAAAATAATGTACTCCAGCTTCCGGGTCAATGGCCTACATCTAGATCAGGTTTTTGTCCAGTTTCCGTAATCCATTGCGCAAATGCTGAGATGGCTTCTTGTTTTGCTTCTAGACGTAGCTTCACTACTCCGCACGTTTTGTTGAACTCTCCTTTTGCTTGTAATAATAAGAGTAGAGGTAAGGACGAGTTACTATTTTGTTAGCATTTCAGAAATAAAATTTGGAGTTCGATTATCCATGCAAATATGTTTTCTATAACTCGGGAACGAAA